CCTGAAACCCAAAATAGACGTCGAGCTGGACAAATTAATCAAGCAAGGGGTGCTTGTGCCAGTCGACCACGCCAAATGGGAGACCCCAATTGTGATATCTGTGAAACCAGATGGGTCAGTGTGCATATGCGCCGATTATAAGTGTACAATTAATAAGGCCCTGCTACAGAGTGCTTATCCGGTCCCAATTGTACACCTTCTGCTGCACTCCCTAGGCCCCGGCAAGATTTTCGCTAAACTTGATCTTGCGCAGATGTATCAGCAGCTGCCGGTAGATGGCACTACCGTGGAAGCACAGAATATCGTAACTCATAGAGGGGCCTTCAAATGCACCCACCTGCAGTTTGGAGTTAGCATAGCCCCCGGACTTTTTCAAAGCACCATGGAGTGGCTGCTGCAGGGGATCCCCAGGGTGGTCCCCTATTTCGATGATGTACTCATTACAGCGGAAGATGAACAACAACTAGGGGGGAGGCTGAGGATGGTCTTAGAAAAATTCAGAAATGCAGGACTCCGGGTCAAATGCAACAAATGCATGATCGCAGTCCCATCCGTAGAATTCCTGGGGTACCAACATACACCCCACCGACAGTAAAATCAGGGCAACCCAAGAGGCCCCCACACCCAAAGACAAGGCGGAACTGCAGGCGTTCCTGGGACTGCTTAATTTCTACACAATTTTCTTAAAGGACAAGGCAACAGTGGCTGAACCCCTACACAGACTGTTAGCCAAGAAGTCCACATGGAAATGGGGGAAGGCCAAGGACAATGCATTTGCGAACATTAAGAAATTGCTGTCAGCCGAGAGTTTCTTGATTCAGTACAACTCTACGCTTCCCCTTGTTTTAGCCTGTGATGCATCTCCTTTCGGCGTGGGAGCCGTCCTGAGCCATAGACTCCAGAATGGCCTAGAGGAACCCATTGCCTACTACTCCCGAACTCTGTCAAGCGCCGAGAGAAATTACAGTCAGCTTGACAAGGAGGCCCTCGCCGCCGTTTCGGGAGTGAAAAAGTTCCACGAGTACCTATTCGGGAGGGACTTTGACCTGATCACCGACCACCGCCCGCTCCTGGCTCTCATTGCAGGAGACCAACCAACAACGGCAGCCCTATCGCCCAGGATGACATGCTGGGCCATCTTCCTCGCAGCATACTCATATCGCCTGGTACATCGACCAGGGTCGGACATGGGCAACGCCGACGCACTCAGCCATTGCCCATTACCAGACAACCTGGAAGACCCCACACCTGGCATCCCCATCCTGCTGATAGACGTTTTGGACTCGGGGCCCATTACATCAGCAGAAGTAGCGAGAGCCTCAACCAAAGACCACGTGATCTGGACGGTCGCAAGTTGGGTGATGAGGGGGGGGCAGAAAAGACTGGGGGCGGGGAATTTAAACAGTACGCGAGCAAACAGGACGAGCTAACCATGTAAGGGGGGTGTTTGCTATGGGGTGACCGGGTTATTGTTCCCTTGTGCCTAAGGAAAAAAGTCTTAACACTGTTGCATGAGGGGCACCCTGGGATTGTATGGATGAAGGGACTAGCCAGGAGCTATGTCTGATGGCCCAACATGGATGTAGACATTACCGAGTGGGTGGGGAGATGCCAGCCCTGCCAAGAGTCTAGGCCAGATCCACCGACAGCACCGGTGAGGGAGTGGGAAAGACCCAAGGGGCCCTGGTCCAGGATCCACATAGATTTCGCTGGACCGTTTCACGGACAGACCTTTATGGTCGTAGAGATGCCTTTTCGAAGTGGCTAGAGATTAAGCTCATGAGGGCCACTACCACCGACGTGGTTATTAGGGAACTGAGACAGTTGTTCGCCACCCATGGGTTACCGGACGTCTTAGTGTCAGACAACGGGCCCCAATTCACAGCCACACAATTTGAGGGGTATTTAGCAGATTTGGGGGTCAGACACGTCCTCTCGGCCCCATTCCATCCGGCTAGTAATGGGCAGGCTGAGAGATTTGTAGGAACGGCCAAGGAGGCCCTCTCACGCCTAGGCCCCGGGGACTGGCAGGAAAGAATAGATTGATTTCTAACAGCCCAGCACTCCACACCTTGTACAGCCACAGGCTGAAGCCCGGCAGAGCTATTAATGGGAAGGAAGTTCCAAGGGGTACTGGATAAGCTAAATCCCAACTATTCCCCCGAGGTTTTCAAGTGTGGGAGAGGAAGCTCAGGGAGTTCATCATAGGGACTCCAGTTCACGCCAGGAACTACGGGAAGGGCCCACTCTGGGAAGCAGGAACAATTACAGAAATCACGGGGCCCAAATTGTACAGAGTGGACATGGGGAACGGGAGAGTTTGGCACAGGCACATAGATCAACTGAGAAGGCGAATCGCCACAGATGCCAAGGAAAACTCCAGCGAACCGCTCCCTGACTATCAGCCAGAACCACAAACTACATCAAGCTCGAGTACAGCGGAGAAGTCGCCGCCCACAAAGATATCTCAGAGGTTCCATTGGCGGAGCAGGGAGAGACAGGGAGTCCCTCCGACCTGCTCGACGCCGCCCCTCCAACTGAACTGTGCAGGTTGACCAGGTTACATACATGCCCTGGTCACCTGAGAGACTTTGTATGTAAATAACACCCAAAGTGACTTCTGGGAGGGGAGGAGTGTTATGTAAATAAGTTTTCTTGGCGGGAAGTTTGAACTAATTGACCATCAGCTGATTGGCTGACCACCACAGCTGCAAGGTATATAAAGGGAGCTGTTTCCCTAGATCAGTTGCTGGGTTCTCACCCTACAATAAAGAGCTGTTGTCACTCACTGCCTGGCTTGCTGCGTCCTCATTCACCCAACATAACAATATGGAAATAAGAACATAAATGTAGAGCTAATCTTGTCTAGTGTATAAAACACAAGAGCACTGTGAGTTCTAGTCCCGTCTTAAGCATCAAAGCTGGCTGGGTGACTTTGGCCGTCACTCTCTCTCAGATAAACTCACTTCACAGAGCAGTTGAAAAAATAGGAGGATGAGAGAGTATAGAAATATTCAGCTAGTTGAATTATTTATAAAAATAATCAATGTAGGTTTAACTATAAAAAAGCTTTAAGAAAATTTATTTTAGCAAGAAAAAAAAAAGTTGTTTTGTGTATAAATTTCCAACTAAAATTAAAACTTTATTAAGGGTAAGGTAGATTTGGGGGGGGGGAGTTTATTTGCATGGATCAAGGACTTTCAGCTCAGAATTTATGACCCAAAGGATGAGAAAATATTGTTTTATAAATGACATATGGAGAGATCAATGGCTTTGTCTTATAAAAATTGGTGTTAAATGAGGGATTAGAATGAAGTGATCTCACAACTGGAGAGAACATCTCAGAAGACTATTAAAATCACTGAAGGCAAATTATCAAAAATGTTCTTTGACTTAGATCTAGATACATGGAGGTAGAAATATGGCAATTCAAAAGAATATACTTATTTTTCTGAAAGACATAGATTCTTCTCAGGAATATACAGTAGAACCTCTTGTCAGGAATGCTTCTGACCACAACCAAATCGGGTTCCGACCAAAAAATTCATACTTTTTTTTTCCGTGGCCAATTTCCCCTTCCGCGCCATTTTTTTTGTAAGCACCAAATTTCCAAAATTAGGTTCTGGTCACAACCAAATCAGTTTGTGACTAAAGTTATGGAACAAATTATGGTCGTGACGAGAGGTTCTATTGTACATGATTTAAATTTCGAAGAACTTGACTATAAGGATTTCTAAAGTCACGATATTACCAAAACCTTTTTGGCTCACAATCCTGTGAGTTTGGCTTATAAAAGAAACTCTTTTTTTTTTTTTGATGGGGATTAAATGAAAGGTTGCTACATATAAAGCAATAGTTGAACAGTGTAAAGAGAAATTAATTTTTAGTTTGAAAATATTTATGTAAAGACACAGATTGGAAATGGTTTGAGATTCATATAAAGCTGTAGGACATATTATTTCATACAGCATAATATAAATTTAAAAAGGAGAATCAGCAGTGAACACAACCTATTTTGGAAAAACAAAACAGAAACAGAAAGAAAATTCCAGATAAGATAAGTATTCCTCATCAAATTAGGCCCTTACAGTGACAATTATCTATGGTATCAGTGAAAATTGAGTGTGTAGATGAACTAGGGATGTAGCTAGCATGTGAATAACAAAAAAGAAAAATAAGAGAAAATAATATTGCAATTAGAATAGGGAAACACTATTCTAAAATGTTGCCAATCCCAAAAAAAATCCATAAATATTATATGAAAGGGACAGATATGGATAATAGAAGTATGTGTAAAGAAACCAAATTTTGGAGCATTTCAGAGGACAGATTTGCCATTTCCTGGTCTGTCAAATCTGATTGGTGGTGGCATTCACCTTTCTGTTCATTTGCAAATAGGTAAAAAATAAATGAAATTGAAGCATAGCAGTGGTGGGTTCCTCCTGGTTAGGCCGATATGACGTCACTGAACCGGTTCTGCCCCCCCTGCCCCCCCACCCCCCACATTATTCTTATCTTTTATTTGGTCCCACCCCCAATCTATTGCTGCCTCCTGAGTCCCAGCTGATCGGATAGAAGGTAAAACTATTTAAACTCTTGCTGCGGGGCTTCAAAGGGCCTACAGCTGATCAGTGTTAAAAGGCAGTGTGGTGGTAGACCAATGCCTCCTAAAACAAATGAGTAGACCGGTACCTGCAAAAATAAATGGGTAGACCAGTGCCTCCAAAAACAAATGAGTAGACCGGTGCCTGCAAAAATAAATGGGTAGACAGGTGCCTGCAAAAATAAATGAGTAGACCGGTACAGCTCTGCAAGCAGTTAAAAGCCTGGTAGACTAGTACCTCTGCTAAATCTTAAAGAATTGTCACATGACCATCAAGCCACGCCCACAGAACCGGTAGTAAAATAATTTAGAACCCACCCCTGAAGCATAGCATTTACAAATACATATTGCAGTTAACAGCAACATTAGGAAAAGGATGTAATGGCAAATGACTCACCACTTTTGCATTTATAGCTATATGAGCAAATCCTCTCCGTTTTCCCCATATTAATTTGTAATGGTTACTTCCATAGTTCTGCTCTCGCAGTCCTCCTGGTGCAACTGTCAGCTGGTGCCCTTCTTTCAGAAGGTTTATACACCTTTCTCTTGTAGGATGATAAGTGTAATGGAGTGTAAGGAACAGATTTATTCCTGCAAAAGCAGACCTAAAAAATCATTCAGTTCTTGCTTGTAAAAGAAAACATGTTTTTTCCTACCTTGATAATTCAACTAAGAGTTTAAAGAAGAAAAATTGGACTTCCCAAGTCAGTGAATCAATATCTTTTGAAAATAATTAAAACTAAACATATATAGTATTTTTTTTACCTGGTACATTAAAAAGAGTATGATCTATCACAGAATACAAGAATTTTCCAGTAAGTCTATAAATCTTATGGACAAAAAAATAGTTGTCCATTGGAAAGGCTCCATGGTAATAAACAATGATTGCTGGTTCTTTTGGTAGATTTTCTACTCCAGAAACCTCATAACCTGTTAATGGTGGAACAATGAAATGGCTTCAATATTGTTTCACAAAGATTTCTTCTAGAAGAAAAGAAGATCATATAGAAAAATCACTTTTTTCTTATCTTTCTTAGCTTACTTGTGAAGCTAAATATTTTATGTCATTTCTGGAACAACACACTGTCGCATTGATCAATCAGAACATCAACATCAATCAGAATCTCCTGAAATTTGGCTGTTATTACCTTTGTGACCCTACATATTGCTTCTAATTTCCTATAAGTCACTTAGATTCATACAATTAAACTGACATAAAAGCTTATCATTTATCTTAAATATATCAATGCAATCTTAGGATATGTTGGCCATTGTAAAACATTTTTAAAAGACAATTTTGGTATTCTGCTTACTTTTTCCAGAATTATTAACAGACATATAAAATATATGATGTCTATATTGTGCCATGCCATAACCATGATAAATGATGGGTTAGTATAAAATGTAAAGGCATCAGCTTTTAAACAATTACTGACCATACTGAAACCTTTGGACTTTACAAGTAATCCTTCACTTACAATCCAAATTGGACCCAAATTTTCAGTTGTTGAGTGAAGCAATTGTTCAGCAAACACCATCTCACCACTTTACTCATTGACAATAATCCTAAATCTCCTAGTTGTGATCATTAAGTGACTACAGAAATTGTTAACTGGAGTGCTGGGAAGAGAGCCTGAACCTCCTCCAAAGTTCTCTTTGAGCATGCGCAAGATGGCAGTTCTCTGAGTATCGGCTGAAGAGGAATGGTGAGGGTTTTTGGCTGTTGGGTGTGGGGGAGGCCGATTTTCATCTTCTGGCCCCCTGTTTCGGCTTGCTGAGACCCTGGCAAGTTGGATGAGTCATCCTTGACAGGGACAGGCTCTTGGGCGGCCCGGGACGGTCTTGAGACACCGGCTGAGGGATTGCATCATCTGGGCATCGCCAGGAGAGCGGCGGCAGCCTCCACGATGACGCTCAGGCCACGGAGAGTTTGCGGCCTGGTTAGCGCCCCCCTACCAATGCAGAAACCGCTCCTGGCCGTTTTGGTACTCTGCGGTGCTCCGGCGGCTTGCAGAAGCATCTGGCGCCATGGAGGGATGAGAGTGGTGGATGGCGGCAGAACCGGCGACACGGCAATGGTGGAGGTCCGTAGTATTTGGCAGTTGGCTCCAGCTGAAGGCTGAAGGCGGAGGGGAGGCATTCCCCGGAGGAGACTATACTGGGTTTTGTAACCCCTGAGCGATATGCAGCCCGGAAGATCCGGACAAAATTGCCCTGAAAGGATAGGACATGACTGCAGGGGTGAGTGGGCCCAAAGAAGATCTGGGGGTGTTGGAAGTGAGCTAGAGGGGGATTGACAACTCTCCATTCCTGTCTCCTCCTTGAAATGCGCCCCCTTTTTGTGGCCTCCCTTGACTGCTGTTCTGACCTGCTTTGGCCAGACCATTCTTGCCTGCCTCAGCTGTTTTGGGACCTTATATCATCACCCTCCTCATTTGTATTGCCATCTGATTTCCTTCCCTCTGGTACCTTGTTTGTTACATCTTGGCCTCCTTCCATCACCTTTTTATGGGCCTTAGCATTGCGAAGAGGGACAGCGGGCTATGGGCCTTGGTGCTGAAAGTCTTGGACAATTTCTGCTGCCTCAGTCCGGAAGGATGGACCATGACCCCGCTGGTGGCTCTTCTGCTGCCTAGTCTCCATGAGAGGGCGGCTGCGGTTAATTTCCCCCCGGATAAAATCGTTGCAGCTGCTTGTTGACTTTCCATCGCTGTGAGAGAGCAGTGGATTTCCTCGGTTGCCCTATGCTCAACTGCATTACACCTACTCCTCCCGGCATTACCATCTCTGGCATCTATAGTCGCCCTTAACCACCTTCCATGTTTATAGACTGGCCTATACTTTGGCGGACCTCCTCTTGCTGCAAGATGCTCCTCTCTCACAGACATGGCCTTCTTATCTATCAAAGGCCTACCTCAAGGATGGGTTTTGGGACCCCGAGTGGTGGCATGCTTCTAAGCGGGGCTTGAGGGATTTTTTAATTAGAGTTTTTAATCAAATTTTAAGGGGATCCAGAAGGCGGGAGGATTGTGGGGGGTAGGGCCTAGTCCGGCAGGGGGTTACATCACTGGGGGTGAGAGGTCAGGGACTAAGGAAGGGGCCAGTTTCCATACAGGTGAGGGCTGTTCCATCGGTACTGTGAGGGGGAGGGGCAGATATGGTGGGAGCAGGGGGCCATATCATGTTAGGGGAGTGCGCACTCTCTATCTTTGAGTGATTGCGCACTCTGGCCCCCATGGCCCTTCTTGTTCCCTGGGTTGCTCAGACCCTCAGGGCCCAGGCCTTCGGCTGATGTTGTGCAATGCCAGGTCCGTTAAATAAAGCCCCCCTCATTTGTGATCTTGTACAGGACGGGTGTGTGGACCTGGCGGGTGTTACTGAGACTTGGTTGGGCCAGGAGGGGGAGTTCCCCTCATTGAAATGTGCCCACCAGGTTTCCGTGCATTCAATCAGCCGAAGGCTCAGGAAAGAGGTGGTGGGGTGGGGGTTGTTATAAAGGAAGGTCTTGGTCCGAGGGAGGCCACTGTACCTCAGATAGCTGGAGGAGTCCCTCCTTGTGAAGTGGGGCCGTGGGGTTCAGATGGGCCTGCTGATGATGTACCTGGCTCCCTGCCACGTAGCAGCGGCCCTGCCTGAGCTGCTCAATGTAATAGTCGGGGTGGCAGTTGATACACCCAGACTTATGGTCATGGGGGATTTCTGCCATCTGTGGTGAAATGTTGGAAGCGGCTCGGGAGTTCATGGCTTCCATGATGGCTATGGACCTGTCCCAGTTAGTTCATGGCCCTACTCACCCGGGGGAACATATTCTGGACTTGATTTTTTTCTCAGGTCAGTGGCTGAATGATCTAGAAGTAGGGGATGTAGTCATTGAGCCCTTGTCATGGTCAGATCATTCACTCCTTCGACTGGACTTCCATACCGCTACCCTCTGCCGCAGGGAGGCGGAACCAGTTAGGTGATCCCGCCCCAGGCGCCTGATGGATCCGGATAGTTTCCAGAGGGAGCTTGAGCCATTCCCTGAGGTTCTGGCTCACAACTCGACCGAAGACCTGGTGGCCGTCTGGGATAGGGCGGCCACCGGAGCCTTGGATCACGTCGTGCCTTTGCGGCCTCTGACCCGGTGCCCAGGGGGAGAGCCTTCTCTGTGGGGGCACCTACCCTCTGGAATGAGCTGCCCCTGGAGATATGGCGGATCCCGGATCTTCGCATCTTTCGCTGTTCCCTAAAGACGTTTTTATTCCAGCAAGCCGGGCTGGTCTAACTCTTTTAAATTGTTTTAATTCTTAAATTGTTAATTATTGGTTTTAATATTTATTTATTTATTTATTTATTTATTTATTTATTTATTTATTTATTTATTTTCCAATTTATATACCACCCTTCTCCCTGAGGACTCAGGGCGGTGTACAGCCGAATAAAAACATAAATTACAAACATTAAAATAGTATTAAAAGAATATATATAAATTTGGCCCCATAATTTAAGAACAATGACAAACCCATTTAAAACATTTAAAAAATTAAGAAAAAAAAGTTAAGCCAGCCCGGCTTGCTGAAAAAAGAAGGTTTTAAGGGCATGGCGCAAGGCACCATGTTTTAATTGTGGTTTAATTAAAGCCACATGTGTTTTAATTGTGGGCCAAATTAATTTAATTGGATTTTAATACTGTTTTTAAATTTTGTATTTCTTGTGTTTTATCTGTTGGCTGTTGACCGCCCCGAGTCCTTCGGGAGAAGGGCGATATATAAATATATATAATTAAATTAATTAAATTAAATTAAATTAAATTAAATTAAATTAAATTAAATTAAATAAATTAAATTAAATTAAATTATTAATTAAATTAAATTAAATTAAAATAAATTAAATTAAATTAAATTAAATTAAATTAATTAATTAAATTAAATTAAATTAAATTAAATTAAATTAAATTAAATTAAATTAAATTAAATTAAATTAAATTATGGGACGGGGAGAGGACACAGGCTTCCAAATACACCCAGACGTACTGGACTTGATCCCTATCCCACAGGGGAGAACATTGGTGTGTACTATTGTTTTCCAAGATTTGAGGTCCATTCCTATAGCCCACTGAAGGATTTCCCCTCTCGGAAATGTTCATATTTGCTTTAAGATGTTTTGTACCACTAGACATGAAAATTATTCATTTTTATTTTTCTATTGTTACCATAATTTTAGGAATATAATGATCCCAACATGTACATGCCTAAATATTTCTGGTAGTCTATGGTTATATATAAAGTATGTCTTTTAAATTTTAAAAAATATGCTTGCAATTACTCTGCTAAGTAAAGCATTAAGTCAACTCCTTCTTCATCTAGTTTTTCAGCCACAGAAATAAGGGAGTTTCTTAACTAGTTGCTGAACTATATTTACAAAAATGAATTATACATAAATTGACACTTTATATCCTCAGTTTTCTATTCAAATTCTATTAGTTTCAGTTGCAGCTCCAAGATGCACATGACTGTTGGTTATGGTTGGCCAGAAGAATGATGCCTATGAGTGATATTAAGTTCTTCATCCCTGCCTAAAGAATGTATTAAGTTATACTTACTGTGCAGTATTTTTCCATGCCACTTAGCTGCCAGTGTCAAAAATCGCTTTGGCTTGTCCCATTTTTTGCTGTTGATATCATCTGGCAGATTGCCAATTCTTTTCCATACAGAAAGTATTGCATTGTAGAGAAACATTAGAAACAATCCAAACATAAGGGGATAATATAAAATTATCAGAATTACTATCAAAGTTAAGGAATATACAATAAAGCCTGCACATCCTTCCAAAATGTAAGTTGACCAGATGGTAAATTCATTTCCTAAGGTACAATATATATTTTCCACAATCATGTTTGAAATCAGGCTATATAAACATAAATCCATTCAAAAATAAAGTATCTCTTCCTGGAAAAGAAAAATAAACATACAAGCATACTTTATTATGAGCTCTTGGAGAACAGCAGAATATCAGGGTGGCACTGCATACAAGATAATGACACTTTCAAATAGCCTTATGGAGAAGATTAGGCTGATAGATGGTTAAAAAAAATCAAGGCTTGGTACAATCAATCAGAATATTGATCCTTTTAATCAAACATTATTGGCACGGTTAGAGGCTTTTTTTTTTTAACCAACCAAGAAAGAAAAGGTTTAAATGATCAGCCAAAAATGTCTATGTAGAAGGGGGTCCTTGATTTTAGAAACAGCATGTTGGTTATTGTGCACACAGGACAATTCTGATCATCCTGTTTAAAATCAGGCAAACCTTTTCTTCCTTGCTGATGTCCATTCTTTTCCTTAAACTTCACTGGCCTTTATTTTTATTAAAAAGAAATCAACTGTAGATTCTTTGCAAGAACCCCACTTTCCTTTTCCTACTAGAACCTGGTCAATATTGATTGGCATCTCCTGTTGTTTCATCTGCAGGCTGACTGGGATGAAGAGAACAAAAGCACTAGTTCTATTTGAAAACATTAATCTTCTAAAATTTTGGCAAATTAACTTCAAGACCATCATCACCAAGATTTTCAAAATACTTCTCTTGTAGTTCTTTCAAAGAGAAAATATCAAGGGCAAGGAAAGCATACCACATCAGTCTCCAAAGAACTTCCATTGTGCTAATTTAAACATAGCAAGTATTTTTACTTCAACCTAATAAAACATTTTTAAAAATGAGCATTGGTTATAAACATGACATTCTACAAGAGTGAAGAAGCTTATTGGATGAGAAATGAAAAGTTTTCAAAGAAAAACCAGAAAGTCCAGTTGCCTCTTGAAAAAGCACCTTTGTGACATGACATTCTACACCTTATGAAATTTGAAGGAAGGAGGAGAAATGTGTATGGAATCATCCAGGAGCAGTTGCCCAAACAGACACATCAGTGTGAAAAAAGGCACCACTCCTTTAACAGTTCAATGTAAGTGCTTGATACAGGCTTCATTTAAAGATTTCTACAACATCACAGAGTAATGAACAATAAAAGAAAAAATAGTTTGTTTCACAATCTAACAAACTCTCTGAATGCTGACACAATGCATATTCCTTCTCTTTGTTCTCTGTAAGCTAACCTGCTCAAAGAACTTCTAGCAGAAGACAGACAGAAGCAATAGAATATTCCATGTACTCTGACAACTGGTATCACTATCAATCTCTCTTCTTGGCTTTGCCTGTAAATGGAAAGAAATTAGCAGTAATATTTCAGATGTGCAGGTATTTGAGGAGAATCTTCAGAAAAGCCATAAAATCTTGGAATAATATTCAGTTTCCTGCAAAATGATTCTCCAGCACTTCATCTGATGCCCCAAGTCACTTAGAAGTGTTGATGAAAATGGGCAATTCAACTGAATTTCCTTCAGAACGAGGTGCAAGTTATATATTAATAACTCCTCATCAGCGCACATTTCTGCAATAAAAATATTACTCTCAAAATATTACTCTCAATTCAGTATCAAAACATTAATGGAGAAGCCCCAAGCTTATAAACAATCAGAACATTATTGATTAAAAATAGAAAAATAGAAAGCCCCCTACAGCCCCCCAAATTCAAGAAGATGAATTTCACCTGCATACCACAATCATTACCTCTTTCAAACAGCTTGCTTGGAAAATCAGTTTTACTCTGTTATTTTTAAATGAACAAATGTTATGTTCTCCTCCCTCAGAGGGTGGAGTTAGAACAAACAATTCAAATAAACCATGACCTAAAATTAACCATCCTTTTAGCCAATGCCAACTAACATTCATCTTTAACTGAAGAACAAGTAGCTTAAGAAATGAGAATTAAGTCTTCTCTAATTGTTTTCATGGTGCCTGTATTTAACCAACCTCAGGTGTCTCCTGGTTTGGTATTCTGCTGAGCTGACATGTCACTTTGTTCAGCAGAGGCAGATTTTTCTGAGTCCTGGCCCATGAGACCCTTTGGGGCCTATCATCTGATCTATCTAATCTGATGCAGGGAGGGCATGTTGTGCATCCTATCCACAAGGAAATATCATCTGATGGGACCCCGGAGAAGAGTATTTTGTGTTGTGGCATCTGCCCTTTGAAATTTCACTCTGCCTGAAGGCTGGAGGAGATTTCACCAGTGCTGCATGTGAGGAAAATATGTGTCTGTTGTTCAGTTGTGGTTACATAGGTGTTCTTTGTCAGCAAATTTTAACGTTTTCAACTTGTAGGTGCCCAGCTTTGTCCCACTTCCCAGCAGGAAGTTAGAACCAATCAGCATGCATGGTGGGCTTCTGTTGTGACCCAGGCCCACGTAGTTGATATTAAATGCAAAACAGTTCCAAAAAACAAACAGATTTTATTAAAAAAGCTAAGAATTAACTCATTCTCAGTGTATTCTAAATTAAATGAAAGCAAAGTCTTCAAAACACCAGTCTTTAGTTTATCTCTGACCTTGGGATAATTAGGCAAACTGCCAAAGGCTTTTCTTGGCAACAGTTCAGGAACAGAAGAAATAACTACAGCCAAACAAGAAGCAATTCTCTCAAAGGTTGTTTTCCGGCACAGAGGCCAAGAGCCGTTGCTGGTCTTTTAAGCCTTATGGGAGGGGCCAATCATCTCTTGACCCTACTCCTGAGTTGTCCTCTCTGCTTTAGCTCCTGCTGCCTTCTGGCAGCTCTTCTCATACGTGCACTAGGAACAGGCTCCTCCTGTTCCTCTGCCTTTCTACTGTCAGCCTCTGGAGACTCTGAGGTCCGCACATCATTCCCCGATGGCTCTGGCCCCATCTCTGCCTCTGACGCAGAGCCCTCATCCGGGCCTTCCCCAGCCTCCAGGACTGGCCCATGTTCTTTCTCAGCCTCATCGCTGTCCAACTCCTCTGCCAGCTCCGCAGGTTGCTGGCTGACCACAACAGCAGCTCTACACAATGTGCAATTGGGATTTGGGAGGTATTTGCAGTAGTCTATCTGCAGCTCTTTGGAACCTCCGCTTATCCATCAGGCCCTGTCAGGTCTGTGGCAATGGCTACTGGATAGGGTGACTGGATAGGGTAATGTTTAGAATGCTAATTACTAGCCCAGGAGGGATGCAGCTGGAGCCCTCCATCGGAGGCAGGGTTTGGGGGTGGAGTAGTGGGGTGGGGCACGATGGGTTTAAAACGGTGGTGGGAGCATGAAGAGGCTAGAACTGACAATATTTCACTGAAACTGCATTAGGTGATTGTTGGAACATGCCGGATCGCGGAAGGTAAAGCTTTACATCAACCTCCACCCTGTGGTCTGGTGTTTCCTTTCCTGTCCTGATCCAGAACCTGACGGTAGCTATATAAATTGAATGAATGAGTAAATAAATGTTAATATCTAATTAATAATATTGTAGGAATCTCTTCTTTCCTTCTTGCATACAATACTCAAATGAGTAGTTGGCCAGTTTCTGGAGCTTTAGGATCAGAGATAGGCAGTGGTGTGCTCTGATAATAGAACAGAACAGAAGAATGGAATGGAATAGATTGGAATAGACTAGACTAGACTAGACTAGACTAGACTAGACTAGACTAGACTAGACTAGACTAGACTAGACTAGACTAGAATCTTTGATTTAATCATTTGACCATATCAAAAATATAATACTAATACAAATATAGGAAAAGATATTTAAAAAATAAACAATAGGACATGTTCATAATAGGTTTTTAGCCCAACAGTTAACCCCAATCTGAGCCAAATACTTTGTTCTGTTTCAAATGTCTTTTGAAATAAAGAGTGCGATCTTATTAGCCATATGAGGGTTGCTTCTCTGCAAAAAGTAAGACAGTTTCCCCTGGCTGCCCCAGTATTTTTTTAATTTTTAAGTAAAAATCTAAGGAAGCAGCCCTTTCTGCAGAGTACAGTTTGCAGTAAAAAATAATGTATCCAATGTCTTCAATGGCTCGTGCCCCACAAATGCACAGTCTTTGTTCAAATGGAACTCCAGTTATATACCTTTATCACTGGTGAGCTGTGTTATAATATTGGCATAAGCTGTAGCCCTTAAATAAATCCTCTTAAAATGTGGGAGCCAAGAACCTGTTTCTGTGAAAACAAGTCCTAAGGCTAGACGTGACTTGACATGATCATAATGATTTGTATCCTAAGCTCCAATTACCATATTTTTCGGAGTACAAGATGCACCTACCTTTTTTGGTGAGGAAAAGAAGAAAAAGAAATCTCCCTCTGCCACTGAGCAATTTTACCTCGTTGCAGCAAACAGCCTGCTTTACTTTCATTTTCATTTTCAGCATAGCTTGATTAGCAGAAGGGGAGAAAAAATCTGCTCCAGCAATTTATCTCTTTGCAGCAAGCAGCAGAGCCCTGCACAAAACAGCTGAGAGCAAATCAGCTGAGAGTCGGGAGGCGGATTCAATCAACTTGTGCTAATTAGGCTGTGCTGAAGCTGAAAGGAGTTGCTTTTTCTTGCTGTTTGCTTGCAAGGAGGTAACTGCTGTGAGGCAGAGGCCAAAGGGGGGGCTAGTGGGTGGGCGGGGCTACATTCGGTGTGTAAGATGCACCTAAATTTTCATCCCCTTTTAGGGGAAAAAAGGTGCATCTTATACTCCGAAAAATATAGTATGCTTAGCCTACTGCTTCCTGAAAACAGCTAACTTACTTTTGGACTTATTGAGTCTAGGTAGTTGAATCTACAGTATGAACCAGACCTGGATAGCAGTCCTCTCATTCCTACTTGGGTGTATGACATCAATAACATGTTATCTGCATAAAACAGAATTTTTACAGGTTTATTTTTAACTTTAGGCATAGTCATATCAGTAGAATGAAGGGACTTTGGGATATCACTAATATTCAGATTAAAGAAAACGAGAGCCAGTTTATATCCTTGTCTGATTTCTTTATTGATACTAATTTCC